GCGTCGATAGTTGGGCATGTTATAGGCTTGTACTGATATTAAAACCTCTAGTACTGAATTGCATTCTTAAAATGGGTAAGATAACAGTCACCCAGCAACTGGATGGCAGAACAGGGAGTCTTCCGCTAGGCTTGTTCTCTTTAAGGTCCCAGCATGGTGTATTTACTCCAAAAATCTGAAATGGGTCAAACATATATGGCAACTGATTCTAAACAAGTAAACTTTCAGAAAAAATATACTTCTCTCTGCCTTCTCAATGAAAAGTTGAACACCAAAACTTTTTGGTATGTATGTTTTGATTTGCATGGGGCTTTTTTGTGGGATCAGAGAAAAATAATTGCTGATATTTAATGTGTATCTTGATTAATGAATTAAGGTTTGAAGAACTTCCTCTGATGCTCCTTTTTCTAGATATTTCATGTTCTGTATTGAAAGCAACAAATGCCAAGAGCATGTTTTTACTAGCTGACCTGTACTTATTTCCTACAACTCTGTTTGACTTTTGATTTTGTAGAATATCTGGAAGGACGCAGAGATTTTGCTTTTTAGTGTGAAGTTCATTAATTGTATTTCCAAGGATGAGAATCCGCTCATGCCACTGCCTTTTATTATCAGAGGTAAGTAAAGAGGAGGCTTTTCTTTCAGGAAAGAGGAGGGCTTTTTAGATACGCTCTGAATGGGAAATTACAGAGAGGATTCAAAGTTGTTCAGTCTAGGCAGTGTTATTTGATTAAATAATTGTGTAGTTGATGTATGTTTTGATTTGTATGGGGCTTTTTTTGTGGGATAAGAGAAAAATAATTGGTGATATTTAATGTGTATCTTGATTTATGAATTAAGGTTCGAAGAACTTTCACTGATGCTCCTTTTTCTAGATATTTCATGTTCTGTATTAAAAGCAACAAATACCAAGAGCACCTGTACTTATTTCCTACAACTCTGACTTTTGATTTTGTAGAATATCTGGAAGGACACAGAGATTTTGCTTTTTAGTGTGAAGTTCATTAATTGTATTTCCAAGGACGAGAATCCGCTCATGCCGCTGCCTTTCATTATCAGAGGTAAGTAAAGAGGAGGGCTTTCTTTCAGGAAAGAGGAAGGCTTTTTAGATAGGCCCCGAATGGGAAATTACAGAGAGCATTCAAAGTTGTTCAGTCTAGGCAGTGTTATTTGATTAAATAATTGTGTAGTTTCTTTGTAACACTTTTTTTTTAATGAGAGATTGTAAATGCATAATAAAAACACAGTGAATTGGACTTGAGGAAAACCGGACATTGTTTATGGGAAAAAAAATAGAGTTTCAAAAGTTGTTGTAGGCACAACTATGTCATTCAGTATGTGGGATGTAAGTTCTGACCGAGTTTATTGCTTCTTGTTTGTTTGTTTTCAGCCATTAATAAAGAAAAGCCACTTACAATTGGGTATGACATTAATGAATTCTTGAACTTCTCATCGAATCATGCCTCAAGGTACAGCTTTTTTCTTTTCGTCCCTTAAATGAGATACTATAAGAAGGTGGTGTTTTAAAAAACAAGTGTGTTAGCCAGTCACAAGAGATTTTTAGTTGAAAAGTCTGCTCCTGGTCTCTGAAAGGCCTGGAAAGGAGTGCCTTTCTGCTGAGTCTAGTTGCTTAGAGGTGAGTGTGTTGTGTAATCCCCCACACTCTCGCTCTTAGTCATCCAGATTGCACCTTCAAGCCCTTGGTACAGCAACATTTTAGTTTATCCAGTGGAAACCCATACAACAATTTAATTATGTGAAGTAGCTACATACTGCAAGGACTTTTTTTTGCATCTTTGACTTAGATGTAATGAATTATGCAAAACTACCCCCCAAAATGCTTCAGATGCTTTGCTCTTGAGCATCTCTGTGTTTTTTAACTCCTTGCACATCAGCCGAATGGCAGTAAGTTTGATTGATCAGATAGTAATGAATTATGCAAAACTACCCCCAAAAATGCTTCAGATGCGTTGCTCTTGAGCATCTCTGTGTTTAACTCTTTGCACACCAGCTTCGTCTGCCAGCTGAATGGCAGTAAGTTTGATTGATCAGATAATGAAGGAGTTATACCCTGCATAGCATGCAGAGCTGAATGCAAACAACCCTTTCATCCTCTTCAAAAATTGTAATAACTTTTTTTTGTCTGCTTCCAGCATAACAAATACTCCAAGGAAGAGAGCAGCTGCTGTTCTTGCCTCCCAGTCCTCCTATCAATCCGTCTGGGAGATGTTTGCTAGCCAGTCTAAATTGGAGAGGGATTCTTTTCTGCAGGATGTTTTCCCCACTGGTTTCCTCTGGGGCACATCCACAGGTGCCTTTAATGTTGAAGGAGGCTGGGCAGAAGATGGCAAAGGAGAGACCATTTGGGATCACTTTGGGCATGAAGGCCATGTCTACATGAATCAAACAGCGGATGTGGCATGTGACAGCTACTATAAAAGCAGCTATGATGTCTACCTGCTCAGGGGTCTTCGGCCCCAGCTGTATAAATTTTCTATATCCTGGTCGAGAATTCTCCCTTCTGGCATCAGAACTGCCTTCAATGAAAAGGGCGTGCATTATTATAACCAATTAATTAGGAGCCTGCTAGACTCTAACATTGAGCCCATGGTGACTCTGTTCCACTGGGATCTCCCTCAAGCTCTGCAGGTTCCTGGTGGCTGGCAGAATGAAAGCATCATAGACATTTTTGTAAGCTATGCAGACTTGTGCTTTGCCACCTTTGGGTATGGGGTCAAGTACTGGATTACTTTCCATGAGCCCTGGGTTATCAGCTACGCTGGCTATGGCACCGGAGAGCATCCTCCAGGAATCACTGACCCAGGAGGAGCATCTTACAAGGTGAGACGTAGCCATAGCTAGGATCCCGCAGCTACTGTTGTTTTTCTCTGCCAGTTCTGTACTTCAGCTATGCTAAAGCTTCATGTGGCCTCTGAGAATTGCTTTTTGAATATGTAATATTGAGAGAAAAGGGAGTGGTTAGTGAATTATGTCTTTATTTTTCCTTTCTAGAAGCTGATGTTGATAGCCAGGTTCTTCCCCTGCTTAATTCAAAGCAGTTTCCCTGCTGCACTCTCTGGCTGTGGCTCTTTATCTTGTTAGGGTTTCTTGTTTCAGAGGGAGCCAATGTTCTCACACAGCTGTAATATTAACTTTTAGGAGTTCTTGTGCAAAGTTGTGCAACGTACTTTCCTGTTTTCTGTCCCCAGGTGGCTCACACAATTCTCAAGGCTCATGCCAAGGTTTGGCACCTGTATAATGACAGATACCGTTCTGTGCAGGGGGGAAAGGTAGGGCTGGTGCTGAATTCAGATTGGGCTGAACCCAAGACTCCAACCAACCCTGAGGACGTGATAGCATCCGAGAGGTACCTGCAGTTCATGCTCGGCTGGTTTGCTCATCCTATATTTGTTAACGGGGATTACCCAGATATCCTGAAGGCTCAGATCCAGCAAGTCAACCAGCAGTGCTCCACAACAGTTGCCCAGCTGCCTGTGTTTACTGAGGAGGAGAAGTCCTGGGTGAAGGGGACTGCAGATTTCTTTGCTCTGTCGCATTACACTACGCGCCTGGTCAGCGCGGTGACTAACAGCACCTGCGCTCCCACCTACGAGAGCATTGGGAGCTTCTCGCTGCACGTGGATCCGGCCTGGCCACAGACTGCCTCCTCCTCGATCCATGTGGTCCCTTGGGGACTAAGAAGGCTGCTGAAGTTCGTGTCCCAGGAATACACGGGGACGAAGATCCCGATTTACATAGCAGGAAATGGTGTGCCGACAGCAGACGGGGAGGATGTTATTAATGACACTCTGCGAGTGGACTATTTCCGTCTGTACATCAATGAGGCTCTAAAAGGTATGGAAAATGGGAAGATATTTTGTTCTTGCTGATTTTCTTTTTTTCCCTCATGGTGGCAACTACTTATTTTATTGTTTCTACAATGGTTATCTTTAAAATGTCAGCATTTGTGTAGTGATAAGAAGTCAACTGCTTCCGCTATATTTAGTGTAATGTTCTAAACTTGAGGCCATCTGGTGTCCAGATGTGGGATTTTCCATTCTGTTTAGATGTGGGAATAGGATTTTCATATAGGCAGATAGAGGGCTGCACCCCAAGGTCAGTCTCTCTTTTGGAAGACTGCTTATGTACTTCAGCTTCCCTGAAGAGAATTTGTAAGGATATATTTATATCTTGATTCTTTTGAGCAAGAGTCAAAATATGCCTGTACCTTTGCAATGACTTCAGTTCTAGACGTGTCAGGAAATGACAAATACAGATTTTACTCATTCTTTCTTGAGAGGTGGTCAGTATATAGCATTCGTTCTTCTTGATCTGGTTCTCAACATACTGATATTTGTGTGAAAAGAGATACAGAAGACAAAATGGCAGAACAGTTATTTCTGAGCAGTAGTATATAGCATTCATTCTTGCTCTGGTTCTCAACATACTAGCATTTGTGTGAAAAGAGCTACAGAAGACGAAATGGCAGAACAGTTATTTCTGAGCAGTACAGAAGAGGGGCTGTATATGGGAAACAAACTCCTCTGGATTGAGGGATCTAGTACTTTTTTGTAGGCAGTGTGGGGCAGGAAGCTGCTCTTGCCTCTGCAGGTATTGGATATGCTGTCACGTAAAAAGTACCATGAGTGCTTCCCATGTACCCAGGGCGAGACAGAGAAACACTAAATACACGTTTCAGTTTACAGTGGTAAATTTAGAAGTGATCCATATATCTAAACTCAGTAACTGTGCTCACAAACAAGAATATAGTGAATGGCATACCAGTGGCATAAGTGTCCTGTACTTGCATATCTCCTAATGAATATTTCTTTTCTGATACACTTTTGTCATGGAGCATTTGACCAGCTCTTATTACAACACTGACACCTGCTCTTGCCAGATACTCCAGTTGTTTTGGTTTTATGCCTAAAAACCCATTCATGGATGTTTGATTGCTTGGCTGTTACCCTCAGCTGTGTTTGTACCTTTATTCAGAAAACCTTCAAATATCTAACGGTGTCTTTTCCTATTTCTGTGACAGCGGTGAAACTTGATGCAGTTGATGTTCAGTCATACATTGCTCGATCACTGATTGATGGCTTTGAAGGCCCAATGGGGTACAGCCTAAAATTTGGGCTACATTATGTCGATTTTGAAGATAGCAACAGACCAAGGACCCCCAAGGCATCTGCTTCTTTCTACTCCAGTGTTATTGAAAATAATGGTTTCCCAGCCAAAGTCTCAAACAGATTTTCTACTCCTGTGGCATTTAACCTACCTGTGTCATCAAAATTGCCCAGTTTACCAGCGTCTGAAGTTCCCTCAAAGGCAAAGGTTGTTTGGGAGAAGTTTTCGTCGCAAACAAAGTTTGAAAGGGATATGTACTTCTATGGCACCTTCCCAGAGGACTTCCTGTGGGGTGTGTCGTCGTCGGCCTACCAGGTAGAAGGAGGTTGGGATGCCGATGGCAAAGGTCCCAGCATTTGGGATACTTTCACCCATGTCCCAGGCAACATAAATAACGATGATACTGGAGATGTAGCCTGTGATAGCTACAACAAAGTGGAGGAAGATCTTTACATGCTGAGAGCCTTAGGGGTGAACAGCTACCGTTTCTCTCTGTCTTGGCCTCGGATTTTCCCTACTGGAAGAAACAATTCAATAAACAGCCACGGCGTTGACTACTATAACCGTCTCATTAACGGGCTGGTTGCAAGCAACATCACTCCAGTGGTCACGCTGTATCACTGGGACCTGCCGCAGGCTCTGCAGGACGAGGGGGGCTGGGAGAACAGCACGCTCATCGAGCTGTTCGACAGCTTTGCAGACTTCTGTTTCCAGACCTTTGGGGACCGCGTGAAGTTCTGGCTTACGTTCAACGAGCCCCATGTCGTCGCTTGGGTCGGCTATGGCGCAGGGGAGGTCCCACCCAATGTCAACGATCCTGGTGATGCTCCCTACAGGGTTGCACACACCCTGCTGAAAGCTCACGCCAGGGTCTACCACACGTACGACAGCAAATACAGAGCGAGCCAGGGCGGCATCGTCTCTCTGAGCCTCAACGTTGACTGGGCTGAGCCGAAGACGCCGAGCGACCCCAGGGACTTGGAGGCTGCAGACAGGTACCTGCAGTTTTTGTTGGGCTGGTTTGCACACCCCATCTTCAAAAACGGAGACTACCCTGACGTCATGAAATGGAAAGTGGGGAACAGGAGTGACCTGCAGAACCTGCCGTCGTCCCGCTTACCGGTTTTCACGGCTGAGGAGCGCGACTACATCAGGGGCACGGCAGATGTTTTCTGTTTCAACACCTACACCTCCAAAATTATAACTCACGCAACCACCCGTCTCAGGCCCTTCTCCTATGAGCATGACCAGGAAGTTTCAGTATCCGTTAACAGCTCTTGGCCTTCCTCAGCTGTTACTGGACATCGGGCTGTGGCCTGGGGAATGAGGAGGCTGCTGAATTGGATCAAAGAGGAATATGGAAATCCCCCAATTTATGTCACTGAAAATGGGGTAGGGATAAAGACCGACTCGGATGTTGACGACAATGCCAGGATATTTTACTACAAAACGTATATCGATGAAGCTCTGAAAGGTACCAGTTTTTATTCTGTGGGGTATCTGTGCGTCTTCCCCGCCTCAAATTCTGCTTAATTTCTTCTACTAAGGAGTAGCTTTTAAGCACTTGGTGTCAGTCTTGAACTAGTCCGAACACCATACAAACATACAGTTTCTTTTTGTGCTCTCCTCTGTGTCCATTTACCCTGTAGTTATTTACTGTCAGTTTTAAGGTGTGAGGTGTTTGTCTATGAACTGCTTGTCATTCCCTTAATGTGTGATACCGCGGATGCTCTTCCACTGTTTTTGGTCTAACATATCTTAAAATATGTGCTTTCAGCTTACAGGCTGGATGGTGTTAACCTGCGAGGATATGTCGCTTGGTCTTTCATGGATAACTTTGAATGGTTGAGTGGGTATGATCCCAGGTTTGGATTGCACCAGGTTGATTTTGATAATCCAAACAGGCCAAGGACTCCAAAGCGCTCCGCCATCTACTATTCAGAAATCATCCGCAATAACGGTATCCCGGAGCCCATGGATGATAGCTTCATATACGGGGAGTTTCCAAAGGGCTTTGCTTGGAGTGTAGCAACTGCAGCATATCAGGTTAGGAAGGAGCTGAACTGAAACAAGTTTCTGTGATGCTGGGCTTTGCTGATAAGTGTTGCTTTGAGGCCCACAAGGTCTTAGTGATTTGGTGCAGCAAAAATGTTATTGCTTCTAGTCTCACACTGATAAATTAAAATACTGGGGGGGTGGTGCCAAAAAGCCTAACAAGGCTGAATTCTTTTTTTAGGTCAAGTCCTAATTCTAACTAACATTAGTTTTACTAGTAAACAGGAGTTTACTAACAGTGTTTTTTCCCTCATCACAACTCTATAATTAAAGATCGAGGGAGCATGGAGAGCAGATGGGAAAGGACTTAGCATTTGGGATCAATATGCTCATACTCCCTTGAAAATCGGCAACGATGAGACTGGTGACGTAGCCTGTGACAGCTACCACAAGATCGAGGAGGATGTGGAAATGCTGAAGGGGCTCCAGGTGTCTCACTACCGCTTTTCCATCTCCTGGCCGCGCGTTCTCCCGGACGGGACTACCGGCTACATCAACGAAGCGGGACTGAACTACTACGAGAGGCTCATCGATGCCCTTCTGGCAGCTAACATTAAGCCTCAGGTAACAGGACAGATCATCTGGAAATCTGACAAAATGCAGGAGGCGGGAATTATCCTGGCGTCAAAGATTAAATCCTGACTCTTGGATTTCCCTGCCTGATCCCCATGATCTGATGCCTCCATAAGAAACCCTCAGGAACCTGTTGATCCCAGTGATTTTTCATAAATCGCAGGCAGGGATCTCGCAGCTCCTTCAGCCTTTCGGTGCCCTCAGCAGATTCTGGCCTGGGCCTGTACCAGCAGTCCCTGTTGCCTTCGCTTTTTATGTGCTTGCATTTTCTTGTATTTTGTCTGTTTTTATGTTTATTTGTCTCCTACCTCTCCCCTATTCAGAGGTAGGGTAAGCAAGCATAAGAGTATAGATAACAATATGTGCTTTTGTTATCTAGGACTGTTTCATTTATTTGTTCATAGCTTTACTATGTAGCTGCCGTACATGTTATTGAGATGATGCGGTGGGATGGCGGGAAGAAAACAGCCTTTCCTCCTCCCTTCTGCCCCCTGTCCTGTGCCACAACGTCCCCGGGGGGGAGGCGAGGCAGCCTGGCTGCCACCCGCCCAGGAAGGCCGTGGCTGTGCCCGAGCAGTCCTGTGTCTTCATGGTGTTGCTCTCGAGTGGTTGGGCTGATACAGCAGAGCAATTAGGTGCTTCTGCGGGGCTGCTTTTTGTCTGTCCGTGCAGCTGCAGCAGTTCCTCACTGACCTGAGGTGTTGCTGTCAGGAGTCTTTTGGTTTTGGCTTGTAAGACTGAGGGTCATTGCCCTTTGCAGTGAGGCAGGGCCCTGGAGTTGGTCCTTTCCCCATGTCCTGAGGAACCTGAGATCCTGACAAGGAGGTGCTGTATTTGAGTGCGTGGGTGATCACTGTGAACTTGGACACGGCCTGACACAGGACACCCACGTTGCTGCATGCCTTTTAGCAACAGAGAGCTGTGCAAATCAAAGCAGGGTTGGTGCTGGTAGATGAGCTGCTTCACTGTCCTGCCTTGGGAAGGTGGTTTGAGTGTCTGCTGAGTTGTCTCTCTCTCTCTCTTCCCCACAGGTAACAATTTATCACTGGGACCTCCCGCAGGCGCTGCAGAACGTCGGGGGCTGGGAGAACGACACTATTGTGGAGAGGTTTAAGGAATACGCTGAGCTGCTTTTCCAGAGGCTGGGAGACAGAGTGAAATTTTGGATAACCATCAACGAACCGTACAACGTGGCGTACTATGGGCACGGCACAGGCACAGCCGCGCCGGGTGAGTCTGCTCGGCTGGAGCTGCAGCAGAGCAGGAGCCAGGGCCTGGCACTGGGCTGGGCAGAGGGGGACTGGGCTCCTGTGGGGGCCGTGAAGGGGCCTCCCGCTCTGCCTTTCACCTCCAGCGCCCTGTCCCCTATTGCTCCCACCCTGCACAGCCTCCAAATGAACATGCCGGGTCACGCAGCCCCTGGTGGCAGCAGCAGCCCTGCGGTGCTGCCTGTGCCATGGCTGTCCCTGCACTGCAGGTATCTTCCTCCGGCCGGGGCGAGCCCCCTACATCGTGGGGCACAACTTAATAAAGGCCCATGCTGAAGCCTGGCACGTCTACAATGACAAGTACCGTGCGACGCAGCAAGGCTTGATCTCCATCAGCATCAACTCAGACTGGGCAGAGCCGAGGAATCCCCACAAGCAGGAGGACCACGACGCTGCCAAACGCTACATGCAGGTGCGTGAGGCTGCCACCACGGCTGCTCACGCTGCTGTGTGTGTCCCCAGCCCTCCTCCGTGTGCTGGGGATGCCCAGAGCCCGTGTCGGCTCCTCCCCGCACCAGCTTGTTGAACTGGCCACCGTTGGGGTGGCTGTCTGCCTCTCTCCACAAGTTTGTTCATTGTAATTTGAGATATAAAGCAGCACATGGAGAGTAACTAGTTAAACATTTGTTTTGATACGTGATTTATTCCTTGTTTCTTGGTTTAGTTCCTTGTAGGTTGGTTTGCCCATCCTATTTTCAAAAATGGTGATTATAGTGAAGTGATGAAAACGAGGATTCAGGAACGCAGTTTGGCCCAAGGCCTGAGCCAGTCAAGGTAAGGGCACAAGCACATAGTTACTTGTTTTTCTTGTTGGACTAAAACTTGCTTTTCGGCTAGATCTGCTAACTCAGAATGAATCCCTTGAACAGTTACTTGGAAAATCTTGTTGTAACCTCATAGAAAAACTTCATACTTCTTCCTTCAGCGTAATAGGTTCGGGTAGTGTAATAAATGACCTGCATCAGACTGTGCTTTTCTGCACCATGTAAATGTGTTTAAGGTTTTTGTGATGATGGAGCGGACACAATCACTAAAGCTCATCGGTGTCTCTGAACTACATTTATTATTTGCCAGTCCTACTATTCTCACTTCTACTGTGCTGTTTCATTCTCCCTCCCCTTCATGGCGCGCTGGTGTTGGAAGGGTTGGGGTGTGCTCTGCAGCAAGGCAGCTCCCTTCAGGGTTTGAGTTACGCTTTCGTGTGTGCCTCAAGCATGTGGATTTGTGCAGGCTTCCTTTTACAGGCTGTTTCTTTTCTGTTGCTGCTGTTAACGATAGCAGAGTCTCTGCTTTGCTTTGAGATAAAGTGCCCTCCAGCACGTCCTGCTTTGGGGAATAAACCCTGCCCTCAGTCTCAGACTGCCAACCCTCGGGCAGCCCCACCTCCCTAGGAGCATTGGGTGCGTTTTAAGCAGCAATTGCCCATGGACCAAATTCCCAAGGGGACCTTCTCTTCTGACTAGAAGAAGAGCTGGGGACTCGCACCTCGCTCCAGGGTATCCTTGGTGTCCCCAGCTCGGTTTCCTGCTCTGTCATGGCAGGGACAGCACACAGGGCTTCAGCTACAGGTGCTGGCTCTGAGGTGGCCCGTTTGCAAAGAAGGACTTTAAGTAAGTTCCTCACAGAAAGGAGCTCTGGTAGCTGCTGCTTGTTCCTGTGCTCCCGGGGAGCCCTTTGCAGGCGCCAAGCGGGCGAGCAGGAGGGCAGTGGCTGCAGAGGCACCGGTTCCTGCTCCGCGCTGCGGCGGGCGGCCACGAGCACAGCTGCTCCCGGTGCGGCTCTGTGGGTACTTGTTCTTTCTTTCCTTCCTCTTCCTGGGCTTGTCAGGGACCAGGATTCCCTTTCAGGCCTGTGCTGATTCCTGCCCAGAGACACCTTACGGCTTCATTGCAGCCTCGTCCCCCACGTGAACACACTTCTGAGCGAGCCTGGAAGCAGAGGGCTTGGTTACTTCTTGGCCAAGCAGCACTTTCCATGTGCTTGTTCATTACCCATCATCTTCCTTGCCTGTTCCTTTGGAATTTAGCTCTCTTGATGTTATATTTAGCAAACTGCAGCAGTGAGGAGAGTCCATATAAGTTTAATTAACCCTTTGCATCCTACACCTGGGGAGAAACGTGTGCTCAAAGGGCAGAATGTTGCTCATCAGCTTTGCTTTGTCAGGTGCTCTTAGAGCGTTCCTGACTTTTCTGACTCAAATGCACCTTTGAGCTCAAACAGGACTGGCAGATAACTGGTAAATACCATCCATATCTTTAGCTTATATAAAAGGATTGAAGTGGGGCAGATGATAGAAACAGAAGGGGAAATCCTGAAAAAAAAACTTGTGTTTTGAGAGATCTGTGCTTCCTATTGCAGACTGCCAGAATTTACAGAAAGCGAGAAGCAGAGAATTAAAGGCACCTACGACTTCTTCGGGCTCAATCATTACACTACAGCCTTGGTCTACAACCTAAACTATCCTGCGGCTCTTGCGTCCTATGACTCAGATAGGTAAGATGGGACTGTAGATTCGTGGTCAAACAAAATGTGCCCTGCTGGAGCCTGTGCCCATTTGTATTGTAAGGTGCTGGCAAACCAGGGGACAAATACATTAAGCTGTTGTAGGCAACACTAGAGAAAACTTCCACAGGCAGTAAGGGGGATGCCTGTGTTTGCCTCTGCAGTGATGGTCTGGTTTTTTTTTTTTTTTACAGATCTGATTATAAAAGCAAATGGTTAAATTAAGTAGCTTCTAAAAGTCAACACTTCTGAGTCTCTTCATGGTCTGGTATCAGCTTTAGATAGTATTTATCATATTCTCTGGCCAAAATGCAGTTTGAAATATTAGACTTGCCTCATTTCTGGATCCTGCTCCATTTCCTGTTCAGCAGTGGTTGGTTCCCTCTCTAAGTTAGAAGGCTAAATAGTTAAATTGCTTCATGTGTAAATATACAGAATTCAAGATTTTTTTTTTTTTTTTTTAGCTATGACTTTCCTTCCCCAGTTTCAGATGCTAAACAGTAGAGTCTTGTTAAGGTAATTATGAAGCCCCACCATGGGGGAACACAAGTTGTTCTGTTTGTAGGCGCAAATACCAATTTGGGGTGTAGAATCGCTGTGATGTCGATTGTAGGCTGAAAAGTAGGAAGGGTTTTAAATCCCAGAGCCCCATCAAGGTGTGGTGGTGTGAACTACCCCCCCGCTTCTGAGCCGTAGCTGGTTTAGGCAGAACCTGCTTTCCGAGGAGGAGGTGAGTGCTGAGCGTGTCCCCCGCAGGGGTGTCGCCTCCGTGTTCGACCGCAGCTGGCTGGGCTCGGGCTCCTTCTGGCTGTACGTGACACCCACTGGCTTCCGCAAGCTCCTGCAATGGAGGTAAAGCTGCTCGTCATGGTGGGCAGCCAGGGGTCTGGCGAGCCGGGCGCTGAGGGAAGGGGTGCGGAGCAGAGGCGCGCGGCTGCTCGCGGCAGAGCTGCAAGGCTCACGTCCCTCTAGGGATATTCCGTGTCTGCTGCTGGGAGCTGGGGGCACAAGGGAGGCCAGTGATAACGTGGCCGAACCCGTGCACTGTGCCCAGCTCCTGCGGCATCCCCACGTACCTAACACTCCCGCTCGCTCCTGCTCGCAGCCTATTTGATCCAGGACGTCAACCTGTGCGGCTACACGGCCTGGACGCTCATGGACAACTTAGAGTGGGCAGCAGGCTTCACCGAGAGGTTCGGGTTCTACTACGTGAATCGCACAGACCCCGCGTTGCCGCGGCTGCCCAAGGCCTCGGCCAAGTTCTACGCCCAGCTCGTGCGCTGCAACGGCTTCCCAGACCCCGCGGACGGCGACCACCCCTGCCTGCACCCTGAGACGGACGGTGAGTAACGCAGAGCCCCGGCATCTGGGAGCTGTGGATATCCCTAATCCCTAGATTCCCGGGAGCCACGGCCTCAAAGGACACTCGTGTTTTCTGGAATTGAGTCTCTTCTGCATGCACAGCCAGGCTAGGGTAAAAATGCCCAGGGTAGTAACACACCTAGTGAAAGGCCTGGCCCCAAAAGCAGTTAATTGAAGCAAAGCGTGTGCTCAGGTACCTGCGGTGTTTGCTGAACCACAGGAATGCAGTACTTTTGGTCTAAATTAGTAATACAACAACTACTAGTTAAGGACTCAGTATTTTGCCTAAGCCTTTGGAAATCCTCTTGCCTGTGTTCTCTGAAGTGTGCTTGGGGTAGGGCGGGGGGCATACATTAATTACATAACTGTTGCTGATGCTTTTTTCGCAATAACCCTATCAAGCCTGTGGGGTGACTGTAGCTGCCAGTGGCCTCTCTCAGAGTCTCAGGGGCTCTACTGCGAGTCTCAGCCGTGCCTTTATTCCCAGCTACTCCTCAGTGTCACAACGCGAGAGGCTGGGGGATGCTGAGCACTGACCTTGTGGCTGTTTCCCCCAGTGCCGGTGACGCCAACAGCGGCCGCCCCGGGGCTGGCCCAGGCTGCTCCCTTCCTGGGCTTGCAGCTGACGCCGCACACCGCAGAGGTGGCCCTGTACGCGCTCCTGGCTCTCGCGGCCGTGGGGGCCCTGGGGCTGGCTCTCTTCTCCGGTCTCTATGGAAGGCTCTCCAGAAGGTCCCGGGAAAGGTAACACGTGACACTCAGCAACATGTAAGTTTCGTTTTGCTTGTTAGAAGGTGGGGAACAGAGGTGCTCTTTAACCTTGCAACCATGAACATTGTGTTGCATGTGCCACCACAAAGACGACGACAGGTTAATGCTTCTGCTACTGCAATTTAGTATCCTGTCTTAGGCCTGGCTTCCTCTCATTCTGTTGCTTGATTAACAACTTCAAAATACAAATATAAAATACCTTAACTGAGCTATTTCCAAATGTGACTGATGAGATTTCTTAATGTTAGTTTTGCCTTTACTTGTTTCAGAATGTAGATGGTTTCTGAACTTGAACTTTCATCTACTCTTCATCATCAGGAGCCTTGGAGAGACTCTCAGTAAAGATCTACAGTTTCTTTGCGTTCTTAAAACAAGTTACTCTTAGTACAGGTGAAAATGGGCCTGGAATGTGCACTGTTCTAGTATGGCTACTGTACAGAGGAGCCCTTTTTCCATCATGATGTGGATGCTATATCCTTTATTTGATTTAAACAGTATTTACAGGATTTCTTTTACTTGTATATTATGAAATAAATTGTTAAAAATCAAAATAAATGTTGTCCCAGCACTATGCCTTTACAATTGAACCCTGTGGTACTTTATTAAATAAAGCTGCTTTTAAATAGGAATCTGAAGTTGCGAGAACACCAGTAATAGTCAAGTCCAAAGAAGGGAGATGCACAATAAGAAGGAAAGAGAGTTCGAGCTCTTTCAGGGAAGGAAAAATGTCATTATCCCCCCTCCTACCAGCACTTCCATTTCCTGAGAGAAACAAGTGTCCTTCTCCCTATAGTGCAGTCCAGACCCAGAACATGATGGGCATTTTACCAGGTTGCAAGAAGAATAAGGCCCGAGTAAAGTCATTTAAAGTGGAACAAGTTTTTTCCGCTCCATTCCTAACTGCAGCGGCTAAGCCTTGTTTTGCAGCCTTCCTCAGGGCACAGCAGCTCTTCTGCAGGAGTTACAAGAGAAGCCAGTTCCGTTTTCTGAAAAACATTTTATTGAGTGCTGCTTGGGGAATTAAAAACTACAAGGTTTTGCTTGCAGCTGCAGAAGCGAGAAAAATGTTTAACATAAATTAGGTATCTGATTTGCTACTTATAGTGTTTCTGAAACCCTCATCTTAACCAGTCATTGTCTACCCCCACCTTTATATTAATATATGGCCCTTTAGTTTACATAGCAGAATATTTATAGATTAGAAAGTGCCTTTCTATGGTAATAGGGCTAGTGATTATGAAAGCTGAGGGAGATTTTTCAATCTTTAATTCCTTAGAGCTTCTACCCACCTCAGCTACCCCCACTTGATTTTTCTGACTTAGGCAACTTTATTCCTCGCTCTACTGCAGGAATAAGAATGTTGTAGTTCAGTCAGCGTAAGATAAGCCCCACATGTCCAGAAACTTTAGTTGACTTAAATCAAAGTAAGAAGGAGAAAAAAAAAAAAAAAAAGAGAGAGAGAGAGAACACCAGACAGCCGTTATTGCAGTTACTTAAAACTACATTTGTTGTGTAGAATTTCCATTCCATGTATTATTTTCATCTTCTCCATCATCTTGAGTCCTCAGTCTATATATTTTGCCTTCTTTTTTGAAGTCTTCCCCCCGCTTTTCCATTACTCGTTTCCTGACTGCTTGCCTAGGGTACAAATGACAGAGAAGTCTGACAGTTTCCCTCAGTGTTAAGTGCATTTATTACAGTCACTCCCCCTGTATAAATTGCCCACCCTTTCTGCCCTTCTCCCCACTGATAATTTTCTCAGGCCTCTGTCTCGAGGGAAGTTGGTCATTTAGGAGTTGCACAAACTCGAAGAATCTCATTGCCCTGGAGAGCAGCTGCTACTGCAGCGACACGAGGCTGCTTCAGGCCCCCCTGCCCAGGAGATCTCTCAAACACTGCAAAACCTTAAGAGCCAAACTCAAAGTTGTTCAAGTTTCTTGCACAGCCCTGCTGTAACAGCCGGACATTTAATTTTGAGTTTTTATCTTCTACACAGTATCAGCTCGAGTGAAGCTGCGTTTCAGGTGTAGCTGAGTTCCCTGTTCGTAACTGAGCGCTGAGCCACGTTCCTCCTGTTCTGCAGCTAGGAACAGCAGCAAACAGCAAGGAGTTGGGCTCCTCACGCATGCGAACCCCAGGCCTCCCAGCCAGAGCTGCTGTGGAGTTGCCAGCCACCAGGTCCATCGCTTTTACCCACAGGGAAGGTTGAAAATGAGTCACCTTCAGCACTTGGGTTACCTGCTTTGCTCAATGCTGCTAGAAGCTGAAGGACTTGAGTGTTAAAAAAAACTGCTGATGAGCTGGTCTCGCTGCGGCTTGTGCGGGTGGGGGGCTGGTGAATAGGAAGTTGCTAATAAATCTCCAAACTGCCAGGAGAGGGTAGAGGATCGTGCCCAGGAACTTCCACAGATCCCCCCCTGAGGCCTGGACCACAGAGGAAGCAGGTCGTCCCGCCTGTCCGTGAACACACAAAGCAAACGGGCAGATATTACAGGGATTTAGGCAGACTATTTCATGCATAATTTAGAAGCAGCTCAGCAGAAGCAGCTCCCTGGTTACTCATTAGACAAAAATACCTACACCACCATAAATCTGCAGAAAAATCCTCCCAATGAGTATTGCATTTTTTTTTTGACAAGTTGTCTTAGACGCAGTAAAAACTAAATTCAAACAGAATATTATAGTGCCCTACTTAAAACAGCTGTACAGCTTCAGCATTGCTATTTTCAGGGAAATAAAAGCTAAGATAACACCTACCGGCAGCAACACCACTGAAGCACTGGGTGCTAACTCCAGCTCCAATAATTTCTTTCCATAATCTTCTTTGGTAAACTCCCTTCTGGGAAACATTGTTGCCAGTGAGAAATTGCCATAGGCATTACCAACTGTCTGTAGAAGTATAAAGACACTTGATTTATAACCGGTCACTTTCTGAGAGTCATTTCAGATTTACCACCCTGCCACATGGACCAAGCAGTTATAACACAAACCAACAAGCATCTTCACAAGGCGAAAGGAGTGTTGTTCCCATTATCCTGCTCTCCCTTCTGCTAGCAACAACATGCTGCTGTAGCACACAGGCACTGGAAAAGGCTGCTATCAAAGCCCCTTCCAATAAACACCATGGAAGCAGTTTGCTGTATTTCCACAATAACCAGCAGCCAACCCCGCTGTAGCCAGGAGGCAGCTGACAGAACGACACCCGGCTTTACCTGTGCAGCAAACTGCCTGGCTTCCTCCAGCCGCGCGTCGGACGGAAACTGGTTAGTGAAGGAAGAGCCGTCGGGGAGGCGGAACTGGATCCTGGCTACGGCACTGCGGGAAACACAGCCTGGTCAGCCGGCACCAGGGCCGGCTGCACGGAGCCTCCCGCTCCCGGAGCCCCAGGAAGGACAGTCTCCCAGTTTATAGCCCGTTCGGTGGGTTATAAATGCGATCTGCGGCTACTGACATACACGTAACTCACAGAGCTCGTGTGCGAGACTGTAACTCCTTTGGATTTGATCAGAGCCCAAGATTACGGAAACGGGACGTTTTATAAAAGTCACTTAGTAAAGTCTATGTAACATGGTGTTTTCTCTATCCCCCAAAACACACATTGCTGCTTTGCCCAAAGCAACTCACCTTCGCTCCTTCTGAGATGCTTCTTTCCTGGCCTCTATTTCAGCCTGTTTTGCCTGAAGAGCTGCAGCTTTCGCAGCTTCTGCTTCTTCCTTTGATTTTGCAAAGCGAGCTGCTCTCTCAGCACGGTCCTTTACAAGCATCAAACAAAAGCCTTAATTTTTACAAGAAATTGTAGCTTAATATTCATTAAAACAGAATGCCACAATCTGCAGGCAGCATCCAATTACACTGATGTTAAGTACAACATATGGAGAAAAAAGAGAAATGTTGCAAAACAGAATCCACTGCCAAAATGCACAACCTCTTGTCACTAGCCAAGACGACATTTGCTTTTCAATGAATTGCTTCATCCAAACCATTACTAAAAGTTGATCTTCCAATGGAAGTTTAGCATTGAGTTAAACATAGGTTTTAATATTTCTAGTGCAGAGAACAGCAAAAATCAAGTTACACTGCTGCAGTTCTAAGCATCCAACATAAAACCTAATAACGACAAGGGATTTCAATTGCTATTGATTTCTTATATGCATACATAGAAATGTACCCTAAAAACCCCAAAACAGAACATCATCACTGTGAAGCAGGAGCTTCATTTTACCCAAAGCAAATGTTATTAACAGAAGGAAAAAAAAAAAAAAGGTAAATTGTTACAATACGAGCTTATAGGATTCCAAGCAGAAAAAAAAAAAAAAAAAGGAAAATCCTTGAACATTTCACTGAATGAGAAAACTTTCTGCTTTTAGTGCACTGGTGGCTCTTGTGACAGAGAATTGAAGCAGGGTTTTTTCAGAAATAGAGGCAATTACCAATGCAATCTGCTGTCTTATACGCTCTCTGGCTGCTTTCTCTTCTGCCTTTTCTCTGTTCCTTTCCTCTAACATTCGTTTAGTCAGTTCTTCTTCCTGGCGTCGTTTGTACTCCAACATTTCTTTACCAGTTTTTCTCCGTTCTATTTCTTTCTTGATTTCTTTCTGAGGAAACAAAGACATGGAAAACTGGACCACCAAAGTGTCTTGGACAAGGACAAGACAAGACTGAAGTATTTGTTTAAAAAAAAGAAATAAAGCAATTATTCAAATAAGGATATCTAAAAAATTCTGCAAGCTGCTATACATTTATGCGTTACCTGTTCTTCTTCTTTTCTTTTCTCTTCTCGTCTTTCTTCAAGCTTTTTGGTTATTCTAAATTTGAAAACAAAATGAAAACAAATCTTTAAACACCAGTGTTGGTTATTAACATTTTGAAATTTTACTAAACAGTTGCAAACACAGAACAAAGGAACATGTGAAAGTGAATCTTTAACATACTGCTGCTACCTGATGTAACGGTAAAAAGTCACTTGCACGGGGCTCCACCATATGTAAGAACCACCTAGATTCACTTGGGTGATTCACCACCTGGATTCCAGCCTCTAGTGACAGCTTTAACATATTTCTTCTATCCTTTTCTGCTCAGTGAAGGACAGACCACACATATTCTCACTGCTGAATCAATTTTTAAGTCACACAAACCCAGGACTATTTATGAATCACGGTAATGGAAACTCAAGTCTCAATCTGTTTGTCGTTATTTCAGCCATCTGCTACTGAGAACTAGTTTCTTCTGCACATCATCTCCTAGTTTCTTCTGTACATAATATCCTAAAATGGAAAGCAAACGGCATATAGCCTGACATGAATGCATGCAAATCAATCCCATTTATCTAAAAAAGTGCCTCAGAATAAAGACTGAATTAAAAACATTGATTTACAACAGATTCTGAACCTGGGGTAGTGGGAAAGGGCAGGTATTATGGAATAATATAAGTCAGATAATCAAGCAAAAGAAAACTTCGCTTGTATGGTGGCCGTTTTGCCTTTTTAACAGAAAAATATAGTTCTCAGAGCTTTGCTTCTTGTCTTCCTGAAAAAGATGCTGAAGACATATGGTGCAAATAAGGATTAAGGTATAATTTTAAAAGAATTCTCAGTATTCATGATAGAAGAAGTATTAGTTGTATTATTAGTTGTAAGTAAAAATTAGACTTACTGCTTAACATCTTTGGAATAAAGCTGAAATTGTGTGAAAAAAGTGTTTTAATAAGATAAATAATCCCATTTACTAAGTAGGTGGCATTGTCTAGGCAGAATCAGTCGTTCTTATGCTAAAAAAATTATTTTTATAAGCTAAATCCAGTAGTTGAAAACAATTTAATGAATGAACCACATACTGAACCAGATGCTTCTGGTCACCATAACTTAAAATACTGCAACTAACCCCCCGTCATCAGATCAAAATAAAAGCAAAGGAGCCTCAAAATGCAATTCTTCCTGCTCTTTGTGTATGTCTAAGCTACAGGCAGGCATGGAGTAGAAGAGATGAAAAATGGAGGCAAGATGACACCTCTGCACATAACCACTTCATTACCCTCATTCCAAATGCTTCCTGTTCATCCCTTTACCTCCTTCAAAACTTCTGCAGCAAACATACCTGTTTGAATTAAAGTTATACCCAAGTGATGAGATTAAACTGAAAGATTAGACTGACTTAAAAGCTGTTTTTTTATCAGCCCTAGAAAGAAAAGGCCAGAGAAATGTTTGCCAGAAGAGAACAGGTTGAACACAAAATCTGTAATCCATCTTGCCTGCTCCCCTGTGTTGTCTCCCCACCAAAAAAATAACGGTCTCTGTAGAAACGAGCAGAGGACACCAGAAGGTCTAGGTGAGGGTATTTACCTTTCTACTTTGACTGAAAGATCATTCACAGGCTGAGCAGCACTCACTTGCCCATCTGAAGAATTAGTTGCTTCCTGAGACTGGCTTGCTTGACCTGAGTTTACTTCATCTTCAAGTGGTTTATGAGAAAGTTAGGCACAAAAGAAAAATGTGAGGCATTATTTCTTATTGCAAAAAAGAAAAAAAAATAAAAAGAGACCATTAGTAATAATCCTAAAGAACAACAGAAAGGATTTCTCAGAGATACAAGGTTCAGCTATTCAAATATGTGTGTATATTCACTTTACTAATCATCAGGACCTTTCAAAATTGAATTCATGTAAAGAAAGGGTGTATAATCTTACTGTATTATAAACCATATATTTCTCTAGCACTACAAGAAAGCCAAGTGACAAGTTATTCTTCCCTTTAGACTGCAAGAGGCACTCCAGGATATACAAGCTCTTCCTCAATAAGTCTACTCAATACATTAAGCTTTTATTTAAGAGCACAATTAAAAGGATTTCAAAAGCAAATGAGCTAGCATTTGTGTAAAAACACTAACCATTAGCAGCAGAAGGTCTTACTGTCTCAGACACAACAGGCTCGTGAGAATCACATAACTCTCCCGCTCTGGACTGCGTATTTTCTGGAGCACCGTCAGACTGAAGGGAGGGACACGGAGCAGTTGACTGAGCTCCATTTTCCAGAGGTTGCCTTTTTACTGTGTGCATCTATGAGTGGTTAAAAAACAAACAAAAAAAAAAATCAAAATTGAAATTTAGATTTTTTTTCCTCTGATTCAAAGGTCTAGGCTATTAAACTACTCTTGGAGAATCAGTTAATCCTACTTATAATATAAGACTAAAATAATAATAATCACATATTTTGAGGTTTGACCCAATTATAAAACATTTAATGTTTTTTTTCCTAATTTCATACTTACACTTAAAACCAGTGATGAAATTTTAGACATTTACATTACATTCTGTAGTACGGTTTTGCAAACGCACATTAAGAAACACAGTATTACAAAGCCACATATGAACTATACTTATGGAGTTACTGGTGTGTCATCTGGAGTTCTTGGCGTATTTCCTCACATCTGCAGGTGTTGCACAGATTATCTAAACACCCCCCCTCTCCCCCCCAAAAAAATCACTAGAACTTCTACACAGTGCTTCCAAACTTTCAAAATCTGTTTGCATATTGCATTTAAGTTTGCAGATTTTGTTGCAGGAAGGATATGGAACCAATTATTTATTCTTTCTCTTACTTCAAGGAACATGCTAAGAACCAGGGATATCTCCAGCCCTGAGCACGTGAACATACCCATCTCCACCTGAAAGACCTGGTTCCTGGTTACTTTTTGGATTGCAGGCATTACCTGTTTTACTTTTTGGATTCTGGTAACAAGTTCTTCAACAGAAACACTGCCAGCAATTACTTCCAAAGGGATCCCATTGTCTCCAATAAAGAAACTGGAGGGAATGCACACTACAGGATCTGCACAGCAACAGTAAAGGCTAACAAATGAGGCAGTTTAAAAGTAGGCTGAAAAGTATTATCAGACTAAACCATCTTGTTCAATATCCTATATCCCTGTAGTTGCCAGTAGTAACTGGCAAGGGAGGAAGAAAAACAAACCTACCAAATGCATGGGAAAGCTGCATACAATTGATTAGCATTTATTGTATTCTTTCACACGGGATAAGGCAAAATATTTTCCCTCAACACACACAAATACTGGACCACTGATTATGCTTTGACTTGAAGAATTCTGTTTTAGCATGAGAAAACATTTTACATAAATAACAATGAATTCCTTACAGTATGAAGAAAATCCAAGCTAAGGTACTAAATGCATATGCATATAATTTTATAATATAAAATTCAGCATCATGCAAAATTCCGAAGTTAAAAGTAACTTACTTAAGAGATGTTCACCTAATTTAAAACCCATCTAACAGATATCAAACTCCGTACTTGTTCTTCCTCCTCCACAGTTCTGAAATCCAGCTAATAATCTAAAGCTTTGGGATTTTTGAGTTTATGAGTGCTAGTTAGCAATACCAGTTCACACCAGCAAACATCACGGCTCAAATTAACAGATAATTCCATTTACACAAAGAACCGGGTCATCTATGCGGAGGATTATGCAGGATTAGCATTTGACAAACTTGTTCAGCTTTCACTAACAGACTGAAAGCCAAATACACGTTAACAGATGGTACATTTTAACTACGTCGCTTATTGCGGTTTTTTTTCCATAAGAAGTATTTTCAACAATGCTGCTTGTAAGTATCTGTCTTAAGAATAGAATTAGGGTGTAAAGAACAAACATCTGTAATTATAAAGTAGCATCTGAACCGATGTCAAAAGGATACAAATTTGAGAAAACTGCAGGCATGCTTCGCTGTTTAAAATAAAAGATATATTTGTTTAGCACTCTGCAACAACTCTCGAGCAAGTCTTTCAGCATAAAAATAACTGCCCTACTACCACACACGAAACTATTTAAACACTTGAGAGAACACTGAAAGCAAACTTGCATTGCATACTCCATTAGCATTTTCCAAAGCGTTGACGTGGTGACAATTTCTGGTTGCCACAGCTGACTATAGGAGATTATTTAGGAAACAATGCTAAGAAGCAAATTAGGAAAAAGCATCTAGTCTGCTGAAAGCAAATAATAAGTCTTTTAAAACATCTATAGAGCATTTCAAACAATATGTTTGAAATTTCAGTGCACCTGGACTGTAGTATCTGCATACAGCAAGAGAGACTTATCTGAGTAAGGAACCTTGATGTTCCTGCACTCTGTGTGTTACACTACAGACAGGCATGTACTTGGTGGGGCCTTAAAGGTTTTTATCTTTCTAAATTCATGCAAGCTTTTGAAAGCAAGTTACGTAACTTGACAAACCAAGAATTGTCTTAAGAATGCACTATGCTAGTCTTTTTTTCTTGGCCTTTTTGCATCTTTTCCATGTTGAAGAAGAACAATCCCAACCCTTCTTACTGGTACCAAATGCATCAGAAGTGAGTGATGAATACTCTGCAGAAAGTGACACCAAATTTCTCTAGCTCTTGGAATTTTCTCAGTCTCTGAGGCTTCAGATATATCAGTAACTTATACACTGAATACTCAGAGTACCTGCAGGCAGGTATTCCTCAGGGCAAGGACTTCAAAAGATCCATATTTTCATAATGAGAAACAAACAAAAAAAAAATGCATGCAAAAGAATTAGGATAGGATCAAACCTTTTGGTGTCAATTTTAATAGCAACAAAACCCTCCGAAGCAGCTTCTGTCACCTTCTCATCTTCCCACCTTGCAGCCATCTCTGTGGACTGTTCATCCTCACCTGCAAGACACAGAGCACATGTGAAGCTAAACACACCACAAACGACCACCTCTGGCCTGATTTTATTTCGTGCTTTGATGGCCTGAGATCAGTTCTGAAAGCAACTGTAGCAGTCTATAAATACAATTAATATCCCGAAAAACAGATGCTTGCATAAAAGATTAGGATCAAACAAACAAATGAAAAAGAAAAAAAAAACAAAAAAACAGGAAATCTCCAAATGTATAATGATGCACTTTGCTAACACATAAGATTTCATAATGAAACAACCAGTCCAAATTTTGGTGCTTTATTTGAAAAGCATACAGAGCATCACCACTTTTACTCTCCCCTTCCTAAGGGTGTGCTATATATATTTTAGAACATCCTAATGCTTTTCTTACTACTAAGCATTACTGTAAAAACTGTACAATATTCATGAAACTTTTAATACGCAGCTATTTAAACACAAAATAATTAACACATCAATGTATTGCTCTCATTTAATATATTTTAAATATTTTCAAACTTTCAAAAGCATCTGTAAAACAAATGCCTGTATTTAGTAGTCTTATGTCTTCATATAAGTGTGTATTTAATAAAGGTCCATTTCTCAACTTTTTTTTTTTAAGACTGCCTTCATAATCTTTGTCAAATCATGAACCACTTTACCACTTTTTTATAACCTGAAGATAACAAACTCCAGCTTGTTCAAGGTTCACCTTGAAAACATGCCAGAAATCTAAGAGACCAAAAAGCCTAACCAATACACTTAATAGACCAAGAAGTTAGCAACTGAACCATCCACCCCGGTGGCAATGGCACCTCAGGAGATCCATGTTCATGTGACAAGTGCACGCTATGTGTTAGTATCTTTTTCCAGCAGTGACCCACTGCTTCTTCCTAGCATTACATTTGACCTGCTAACATGCTAAAACTATTCACTGCTTTCTTTTCATTATAAATTTAATTACATATTGGTACCGCACCTGTTTTGTGTAAAAATACAGTTTTCTCCCTTTACAAATGCATAATTCAGAAGACAATATTTTACAGTTTAATGGTATTGATAGTATTGAAAAAGAAACTATATATATATTTTTGCAGGATTATTTGCAACTCAGTTTTGTATTGCAGTCCATTGTGTGACCCAGTAGGTAACAGTGACAGTGGGAGGGGAGAAAAAGGAACAAGGAGCACACAGAAACAAGAACAACCGTGGAAAAGGGGCTATTGAAGGATGCCACTGGAAATAATCCTCTGGTGCCGCAGACTCAGAAGTGTTATTTCAACCAGATGCAACCACATCAACCAGAGTTTTACCTTCCAAAGCACTGGCTCAGTGAGGATTTGGGTTAATGTATTTATTAACAAAGAACAGTAATCAGTTTTCAAGGAGTTACCATCCAGAATTAGCCTACAACCACTTATGCATCTTATGCATCTGTAGTTACTATTAATTCTTAGCAGCTTGGGATCAACTGTCCTCTTTGAATTACAGTCTTCATTGCTAAGTTGATACAGATGCCTGTTAGTCAGTGACAACAGCAAGGCATGTGTTTCTTTCATCCTATTTATTAATTCATGTAATATGGTTAGGAGATTTTACCCAGGACTCTGCTCTTTCATGTAATATGTACTCCTCTCTAGCACTACAATCCTACATACCTCAAGAAAATACTTAGGAGATTTTACCCAGGACTCTGCTCTCCCTTTAACTGTTCTTAGTGGTGCAGCTGTTCTGCCAGGAGTGGTTCAACTACAGCTATTTGCTCTCCTCCCTCCATTTCCAAAAGCTCGGACACAAACAGCCTCTTCACCACACACACTTTGTTCAAAGGACATGTGCTTATCCAATTAGACTACTAAAAATACCCAAGCACTTACCTAATACTAACTTTTCCACACACACACAACTGCTGTAGTTGGCAAAAGACTGTAGAAAGCCACAAAGCAGCTGGCGACTGGTGGCAAAGCGCTCGCTCGCTCGACGAGATGCCATCTCTGAATGGAAATGCTGATAATCCACATTCTGTGCAACTGCAGCACCAACTTAGCATGTGACCAGCCATACGGTAGTCACTTGTTTTATACCTGTTATGTTTCGATAATGTGACTTTTCTCCTTTTGGGGGTAAAGTTAATTTATTACAGTTCTACAGTAGTAGCTGTATCCTGAAATTAAATCCACCAAACTAAGTTCTAAGCAGCCACATGACAGGAAAAGTATCAGAAAAAGGAAGCAGTCAAGCAGAATGGGACTTGACATAACTGCTAAATCCAGAGCCATCACAACTGCCTGAGAAATACAGTTCCCAGAGTGAACATAAACATTTTTCCTTCAAAGTTTATTCTTTTCTGTCCCCTCACTCTTTTTGCTTCTCAAAAAAAAAAAGAAATATTTTAGCACTATCATGGCAAACAATAACTTTAAAGAAAAAAAAAAAAAAAAGGTTGACCAATGTGCATTTATAGAACAAGACATCACCTCATTATAAAGATAAATAGCCACAATAACCCTTGCTTGACTGAAAGATATTCCAGAATCAGGAAGAATAATCAAGACTTTTATTTCCTAGTGCTTGTTGAGAGGAGTGCAGTGGACTGGGAAAGAGGGACAGACGGCAGCAGAAAGAAAAATTCCTTTCATATTTTTGTTTTCCTTTCTAAACTTTGAATCCCAGTATAATTTATGGAAGAAATATATGAAACAAAACATTGCCCTGAACGTTTCCAAAACCCCGTTTTCCTACTCGGAGCGCTGCTGTGGAACAGTAGTGGTAAGCGTTCCGTGCGAAGGCTCAGAGCAACCATCTCCACCAACCGTGCGGTTCCGAACACGGACCTTCCCCAACAACACACCTAGCCACTGCCAGCAGAAAAAGAAACATTTCAGCCCTGAATCGCCTTCAGACACCCCTGCTCCACAAACAGGGCAAGAAATCCTCTATTCCTGGGCTTCATCTCTCCTCCCCAACAGGCAGAACAAGGCAGCTTCTCGATCAGGTCAGCCCCTGGGGAGCTCCTTAATCCTGTCATTTCCAGGGAAGATCTGAGTTCAGCAGAGCTCTCCAACCATTTCATTCTGGTGACATGGCCTCCCTACTAACACCCTCCTTCCCCCACACAGTAAACATTTACGCTTAAAAAAAAAGGATGTGTTTGTGTAGAACTTTGAATTCATCAAAAATACTTTAAACAAGCTACAATGGGAACTTAACTCCAGACATATATCAAAGTCGTAGGTAGTGAATTACTATTACAAGTTCTTCAAGCATTTGAAACATCCAAAAAACTTGGTAGAAAATTTTTAACCCCGAGTAGGCGGGGGTGGGGGAGCAGCCTATACACAAGCTGCAGCGTGTTGTGTTTCAGAGCTAAAGAGACCAAGCGTTGCAAAACGCCCAGGTCAGGAGATTGCTTGTTGTTGTTTACCAAGGGGCTTCCACTGAGTTTTACACGGGGTACAGTGATCTTGGCACTACTGGCTATAGAGGCAGAGAGCTATGCGCCATAAGCAAACATGCTAAAACACTTTTTTTTTTTTAAAGGGCTTTCAGCACAGCATGCACCTGCCATCATGATCTGTGGGCTTTAACACGCTGTCTTAACAGGCTGACAAGATCCTTCCAGCATAATGTTCCCCATGCAGTAGTGATTCTGCTACAGCCATTCTGCTGTATCAAAGCAAGCCAAAGGCAACCTAGTTTTCTGCTTATCTTCTTTTGGTAGCTAAACGAATCCTGTGCTTCAGTGACCCCTAAGGGAGAAACCTCAGCCCCGCCTGCCTGTGCGCAGGTGTCTCTGCGAGGGGCATTAGCAAAGAAACACAAGAGACACCACGGTCACAGGCACACACAAACCTACAGGACAGCAAAAAGCGGCTACTGCCCCCCTGACCCGTTCCCGTGCCTTTCGGGAAGGAACACAATCTACATAACGGCGGCGTGAGCTCCTTCCAGCTTCTGCCACCGCCAGGCACAAAACAGGTCCGGGGCACTCGGGGGACACTGCAGCCCCGGGGAGGTCGTTAGCAGTTGGCAGCGGCAGGAGCCAACGTTCGTCACGCGGGGG